GGTTGCGCAGCACTGGCTGGCGGCTGGCCGCCCCAGCCGCTCCGCGGTGACGCACCTCGCCAAGTGAGTGCCTCTCCTCCCTTCCTCCCTCTCCGCGGCCCCTGCGCCTGTCCCCCTCCCCCCCTGCCGCCGGCTAATGTTTGCGATTCCGATTTCTTGGTCCGCCTGAGCGGCGCGTGCGGACTGCCGCTGCCGCGCTGCGACGTAGAAGCGCGCTGCCGTCGCGCCGCGGGCGGTAGCTGCGCCTCTCGGGCCGCCCACGAGGCCCAGAGGGTGTGGCCGCCGGCGTCCTGGCCGCCCAAACGGGGTCGCACCGGGTGGGGTCGGCGGATGGCGCCGCGTCGCCGATATTTCGCCCCTTTTCGCCGTTCTGTACGTGTCCCCTTTAGGCCCCGCCCCTTGGGCCGCTTCCCACCGACATCCCACATCCCCTGGTTCAGTGATGCCGGCCGTATGCCTGGGGGCCTCGACCTCGCGCGGCCCGCTTCCCTCCCCCGCCCGTGCCCCAGCAGCAAATTCGCGATCCGATCCTCCGCGCTTTCGAGTACTTCTTCGTGCCGGATTTCCCGTCCGAGGGTGAAACGCTTGTTCGTGCTATGATTTGTCTTGCGGTAGCCGCCAAGCCTCGCCGTGAAACATGGTGATCGCTTCCACGTTTGGCACGCAAAGTCGTCGGCACCACCATCGCCTTCCATCGTAGGTCGCGAGGTGGCGTCCGTCCACCCAGACCGACCGACGCGCCAAATCTCATTATGATTGCCACCTTTGGTCCCCGCAGCAAGGTGCAGTTCTGCCGTGTGCAGTTGTAGGTGTGTTCGAGATTATCATGCAAACGGGTTCCTGTCGAGAGCGCCCGGCGGAAACACAGCGGAGTGCGTGAGAGTCGCCGGGGTCGTCCCTCTTGCCTCCTGCCCCGCGCCCCCGAAGATAGCCCCAAACCTTCTTCCAACACGTGCATGACGAATGCGACGCTAAGGCGAGTCTTCCATTTTGAAAATACCTCCTCTCCGGCCGTGTAACTTATTCGGATGACAAGTTCCAGGATCGTAAGTGGAATCTCTTGCGATAAGCTTGGCCGCCCCCTACCGACGTTTCTGGGGTCGCGACAGGTAGGAGTTGTCTGTAAGGAAGGAGTAGAAAAGAAGGAGGAGGAGGAGGAGAGGAGAGGAGAGGAGAGGAGAGGAGAGAAGAGAGGAGAGAAGAGAGGAAATAGGAGGGTGGATGGGGGAGGAGGAGGAGGAGGAGGAGGAGGAGGAGGAGGAGGAGGGGCAGGAGGGGCAGGAGTAGGGTGGGGGAGGAGCACGAGGAAGAGATGGGAGGGAGGTGGAGACGGAGGCGGAACAGGAAGAGGAGGAGGAGGAGGGAGGAGGAGAAGGTGAAGGAGGAGGAGGAGGAAGAGGAGGAGGAGGAGGAGGAGGAGGAGGAGGAGGAGGACTTTAGGTACAATGGTTTTGAAACGCCTGGACACCGTTAGTGGGCCCAGCTTCTTGGACTCACCACCCTGTAGGGCACGGTGGCCCGATGGTGCGAATGGCCTTGGGCTGTACGTAGTCCAGACTGGACGCGATTAGGTCGCTCAGGACTAGGAACCCGCCAGAGTCGCAGGAGGGCTGCAAGGGGGTCCCAAGAGGGCCCCGCGGATGGTCAAAGGATGGCATGGGACCCCGCAGGGGGCGAGGCACGTGAAGGCCCGGTCGTGCTGTCTGGGCGGTCGGGCGGGGCTGGTCGTGTGGTATCACGTGCACGGCTTGAGTGGTTCTCGTGACGCGCACAAGCCCTAGCACAATGCATCCCGAGCCTGTGTATGCACGTTTTTTTTCCCCGAGCCCGTCTGTATGCACGCTTGTTTGATAATTCACTCGTGCGCGGGCGGCCGACTGGCCGATGCCAAACGACCAGAACATCGACGGTCCAGTTTTCCGAGCGATATCTAGGCGCGGTAGACGAAAAGTGCTTCGCACTCGTGAAGGCACGTGGCTTTCGATGGAAAACGAGGTTTGCATATCTGGGCTTCTTGGAACCAAGAAGTGCACATGGCTCTTGCTGGTGTTTCTGCCGCATTTCTCGACCCGTTCGCGCCCCCTCTCCCCTTCATTGGGGTCAGCCTTCCGGCTGTGTAGAGCGAGTCCGAGTCCGAGTCCGAGTCCGAGTTCGCGCCCACCAGAGGCACATCTGCAAAATGCGCGGCAAGTGAAGAGGATGGATGCTTGTTCTTTTTCCTCGACGTAGGACGTAGGTGCGTTTGCAACATAATATTTGTTTTGCTCAGTGGTATACAGCAGCGCTGTGTCCCGACAGGTTGTGGGCGGAGGGCGGCTCACAGCATGCCGCAGTCGTAGGTGGTGGGACTTTCCGCAGGGGGCGAGGCCCAGAAAGGGCCTGGCGTGCTGTGTGGCCGGACGGGGGGCGCGGAAGCCCTAGCATGATACATCCCGAGCCTGTATTGATACACGCGGCGCTCCCCGAACCCTTCTGTGTATACACGGTCTTCTCTCGAGCCCGTGTGTATGCACGCCTCGCTTGGAAGCCCCGAGTCTGTGAACATGCAAGCCCAGCTTCTGCATAGCCCTGAGCCCGTGCGTATACAAGCCCAGCTTCTGCATAGTCCTGAATCGGGCGAACTGCTGCGATTGTGAAGCGGCAAGGTTGGTGCAGCAGAGAAGTGCGGAATACAGCTGAGTGCTTTGCATGTATTGCTTCCCGAACGTAGGAACGTCGGGGTAGGTTTTTTTATCGGCCGCGCGGCCAGGACAGATATTTTCAAAATCGCTCCCTCCCTCCCCTCCCCAGGAGGGGAAAAGGGAAGGTGGCAGAGGTAAGATCTTGTGGGTAGGTTCCGAAAGGTACCGGCTTCATAGCCTCGCGAGGCATACATCCTTCGAGCGATGGCAAAGGCAATCGGCCTGAAGATGGGAGAGACAGATGGCGACAGGCAGTTCTTTCACTTTGAGAACGACCAGAGGTTCAGAGGAGGGAGTAGACAGGAAGATATTCACCCAGGCAAATCGCACGGCCAACCTTTGAGTTAGGGTGTTGCCCGAAAGTGAAACGTCGCCCCGGGTGCCGCGCTTTACTGGACGTGCATTTCATTTGGCAATCCTTGCCGAGCCTTCTGAGTGCCCCAATTTCCGAATAAGCTCCAAACAGACTGCATATAGGAGTAACTCGCAATGAATTCTCGGAGACGATCAGCACCACTGCCCATGCACCCGCCAGCTCCGAGACAAGCTGTTCAATGAAGCGGACAAAGCTTTGCTTTCGGACACGCATCGTAGTTTTCCCTTCGCTTGTGGCTTTCAGAGGGGGCCCGAGGCCGTGGCCACTCCGCCAACAGGATCAGGCACGAGCACCTATCAGTATTGGTGTTTGCAGGGCGGCCTTTCGATCGAGGAGGCGTTCACAGGGGAGGCTTTCACGGATGGCTCCTGTTATGAGGGCGGCCCCGTGATTTTCCACGCAGCCGGTTGGACCCTTGTGAAGATCACGCCAGCAGGGGAGTTATTCGCTGCGTTGTGAGCGGTGGGCGCAGGTTACCCCCCGAAACCTTACCAGCTGCAGCACATATCGCCGTTTTGTCAGCGATGCAGCGCTGCCCACATGTGAATGCAATATCTTCAGGTCCTCGGCCTTCTAAGGATGGCAGACGCGCCGTGGAGACAACACATCTATGCGGTACTCCACGTGCAGATTCGAGGCATATGATGGTTGTGGCCCATGTGAGCCCAGACGACCTTTCCCAATTACCGCCTGAATGGTGACAAGCGGTCGACATCAACTTGGCAGACCGCTATGCTAAGCATGTGGCCCTCACCTTAGTGTAGCCATCGTGTGCTCGGAGGCCAAGCCTGGAAGGATGAGTAGGAATCTTTGTATCGTTATCTGAGGTATGTGGTCCGTTTGCTTGTGTTGTTCCCCAGCTTGGCGCCCGCAAAGGCGTTGCGGTCCACATTCAAGCGGTTTTCGCGTCAGCTGGACTTCATCTCACTGGCAGTAGCGCCACAAGGCAGATCCTGCCCTTGCCCCCCGTGACTCCTTCCCCTCCTCCGTGGCCGCCGCCACTGCCAGCTGCAGCAGCACTGGAAGCCGCGGCCCTAGCGGAGGGCCACGATTGGGCATGGACGCGTTCGCGTTGGGCATGTCAGTACTAACTACAGGGTACAGCGCAAACCGTCGCCCACGATATCCACTTGCCAGGGGTACAGCGCCATCAGCAACCTGGCTGAGGAGGAGGAGGAGGAAGAGGAAGAGGCAGAGGAGAGGAGGAGGAGGAGGAGGAGGAGGAGGAGGAGGAGGGAGGAGGAGGAGGAGGAGAGGAGGCCGGTGGTGGAGAAGGAGGGAGGAGGAGCAGGTGGAGGAGAGGGAGGATGAAGAGGACCCCAGGAGAGGAAGGCGGTGAAGGAGGATGAGGACGACGAGGAGGTCGAGGTGGAGGAGGAGAGGAGGAGGGGGAGGAGGAGGAGGAGGAGGAGAGGAAGGGGAAAGGAGAAGGAAGAGGAGGAGGGGGAGGAGGAGGAGGACGAGGAGGAACACGAGACGGGAGGGGAGGAGGAGGATGAGGAGGACGAGAGAGGAGGAGGATGAGCAGGAGGAGGAAGAGGAGAAGGACGAGGAGGAAGATGAGAAGGAGGAGGAGGAGGAGGAGGAGGAGGAGAGGAGGCGGAGAAGGATGAGGAGGAGGAGAGGAGGAAGAGGAGGAGAAGGAGGTGTAGGACGAGGGCGAGGACGAGGCGGAAGAGGAACAGGAGAAGGAGGGGGAGAAGGAGGTCGAGGAGTAGGAGTAGGAGAAGGGTAGAGGTGGAGGAGGAAGAGGAGGAGGGTGAGGAGGAGCAGGGGGAGGAGGAGGAGAAGGAGGAGGAGGAGGGAGAAGGAGAAAGAGGAGGAGGAGGAGAAGGAGGAGGAGGAGGAGAAGGAGGAGGAGTTGGAGGAGGAGGAGGAGGAGGAGGAGGAGGAAGAGGAGGATCGGTTGGAGGAGGGATGGGGGTTCAGCCTGGGCGGCTGAGGCAGGCGGCTGCTGCGATTCGTGCACCGGCAGGACCTTGAGACCTACGCGGACGTCTTCCCGGGCGCACCCCTCCGTCGCCTCCCCTTCCGCTGGGCCGTGGGAGCGACGGTGAAGGATGGCGGTCGGTCATCGACGCCTGTAGCGTCGCAGAGCGCCCCTGCCCACTTATCACCGCCATGGCTGAGTTCGCGTGGAAGTCATAGCGCGCCCCAGAGGAGAGGTCTGGGGAGCATCGGTATCGTTACCTTCTGTGCCCCCCCATACAGTAGCGCGTCAAATTTGAAACCACCTTGCGAGCAGGCGCCCCACTAACACTTCTTATCCCCAGTGGCCCATGGGGGCCCACGGAAGCCCTGGCATACCCCAGGAAGCTCTAAGCTCAACGACGAACGTGCCCCTAGATTTCTTACATCAGAACTTTGGAGCAGATGTGTCTGCTGTACCCGCGCGCCCGCTTGGCCACGCGGTGGCGCGGGGTGGCTGGGGCCCAAGTGAGAGTTCTTCTCTCGGGAGGCTCGACATCCTTATCCGTGCCAGGCACTCCCTGGCCCGTCGGTGAGCCGTGGCACGAGCGGGGGTGTGGATAAAGACTTCGATGGGCTTGTTGGCGAGGACCGACGTGCGCACTTTTCCAGTGCTTTTCCTCCACCTCCAGAGTGAGGGAGGAGGAAGAAAGAGGAGAGCGGACGGACGGAGGAAAGAAAAGAGAGTAGTGGGGGACAGAGGGGCGGAGGTGAGAGGGCGGAGCAAGCGGAAAGAAGAGGGTAAGATGGCGCAGGGAGGAAGCAGGGCTCGATAGAGGCAGGGGGGGGGAGGATGAGGATGAAGGGGAGGCGAGGGCAAGGATGGTTCTCGGTCTTCCTGGGGTTGAGGGGGCTGGGGTATTCCAGGGGCTCCCTCTCCGTCTTCCCCCGCCCCCTCTCTGCCCCTCCCCTGCTGGATGTGCATCCCTGAGTCGATGCAACACGGCTGCGCCCCTTGAGTGATGGAAGCGGAATTGGCGCGGACCCCCAGGAACGACGGCGACGACGACGACGACCATGACGACGACGACGACGACGACGACGACGACGACGACGACGACGACGACGACGACGACGACGACGACGACGACGACGACGACGACGACGACGACGACAACAGGGCCACCCCCGTTTCTTCCGCCGAGGCGCCCAAGGCCGTCGGGAAATCACCTCCCTGGTGTTCCTTCGCCTCCCAGTCGTCGTCGTGGTCGTCGTCGTCCTCGTCGTCGCCGTTCGTCGTCGTCGTCGTGGTCGCCGTCGTCGTTGTGCCTGCCCGACGGCGGCTCTCCGAGCGAGCTCGCGACGACGAGCTCCGCCCGATCGCCCCGCGCAGGCGCCGAGCCTGACTGGGGCCCCGGCGTGGGCGGCTGGGAGGCGGCCGCCCCGGGCAAGACGCCGGCCTCCGCCCGGCTGGGCTTGATCGGGAGGGGAGGGGAGGAGCGGGGAGGAGGGAGGGAGGGAGGGAGGCAAGAGGAGGGCGGGCAGGGCCTTGACCTGGGAGAGAGGGAGGGAGAGAGGGAGGGCAGGGGAGGAGGGAGCAGGGAAGGAAGAGGAGGAGGGGGGAGGGAAGAGGAGGCGGGAGGGAGGGGGCTCGATCGGGAGGGAGGAGGGAGGGAGGGAGGGATGGAGGGAGGGCCACGACACCGGTTGGCCGACGTGCGCCAGTCGGGGTTGGATCGGGAGGGAGGGGGGAGGGAGGGAGGAGGGGAACAAAACGGCACGACGCGTGCCTGCGCCTTCTGCATCGGCCGCCTGCGTGCCGACCTGGAGGCGGCGGTGTGCGCCTTGCTGCCTAAACGACGCCGGCAGCTTGGAGCTGGGTCATCGGTACGCAGCAGTGGAGGGCAAGCGCGGCTGGCTCCTGAGCGGTGGCGCGCGGGGCAGTCCGCGGCGACGGAGGCAAGGACCGAGATTGCTCGCGAGGGAGGGAGGGTGTGAGGAGGCATGAGGAGGAGAAGGAGGAGGAGGAGGAGGACGAGGAGGAGGAGGAGGAGGATGATGAGGAGGAGGAGGAGAGATAAGAAGGAGGAGGAGAGATGAGGAGGAGGAGGAGGAGAGATGAGGAGAGATGAGGAGAGAGGAGGGAGTTTGCATGATGAGAACGGAGAGGACGCGGAGCAGGATAACGAGGAGCAACAGGAAAAGGGAAACGAGGGACGATGATGATGATGATGATGGTGATGATGATGATGATGGTAGTGATTATGATGCTGATGATGGTAATGATGATAAGGTTGATGATGAGGTTTATGATAATGATGATGATGGTGATGATGAAGATGATGATGATGATGATGATGATGATGATGGTTGTGGCGGTGGTGATCATGACACGGATAATGATGATGATGATGATGATGATGATGATGATGATGATGATGGTGATGGTGATGATGATGATGATGTTGTTGATGATGATGACCGTAATGATGATGATGATGATGATGATGATGATGATAATCTGGATGTTGACGATGATGATGATGGGGATGATGATGATGATGCTGATGAGGATGATGGTTAATCATATAACTGGGACAATTATGATGTTGCTGATTACGATGATGGTGATGGTGATGATGATCATAATGGTGATGGTGATGATGATGCTTTGGATGATGCTGATGCTGATTATGATGATGATGACGGTGCTGATGACGCTGGTGATGATGACGATGGTGGTGATGGTGATGATGCTAATGATGATGCTGATGATGATGCCGATACTGCGGCTGCTGCTGATGACGATGACCACGACGATGATGATGATGTTGATGATGCTGCTGATGATGATGTTAATGATGATGATGGTGATGGCTGAAGCTGCGGGTGTCTCTGCTGCTGCTGCTGATGATCGGGATGATGGTGACGACGGTGGCGACGACAATGATGATGGTGCTGATGAAGAAGATGGCGATACTGATGATGGTGATGATGATGATGATGGCTGTGATGATGGTGATAAGTTTGGTGGCTGTGATGTTGATGATCACACACCAGGAGGAACATGAATGGCGTGCGGAACACAATCAGGAGCAGGAGGATGGATGGTGTAGGTGACGGTGGCGGTGAACGTGATGGTCATGGTGCTGGTGTTTGTGATGGTGAGTCTGATGATGTTGATGATGCTGATGGTGATGATGATGGCGATGGTGATGCTTTTGATGGTGACGATGCTGCTGCTGCTGATGGTGATGATGCTGAGGATGATGCTGATCATGATGATGATGCTGATGATGATGCTGATGCTGCTGCTGCTGATGATGATGATGGCGATGATGCTGCTGATGGGGATGAGGATGAGGAAGAGGAAGAGGTAGAGGAAGAGGAGGAGGAGGAGGAGGACAAGGAGCACGAGGACGAGGAGGAGGAGGAGGAGGAGGAGAAGGGACCTCTTTTTATTGACCGCCTGGGAGCCGGATGTGTGCCCTAATCTGGGCCTCCAGAGGCCACTGCGAGGGGCTCCACGGAGGCTTCCGCGGAGGCGGAGGCCTCCGCAGACTTCCCAGGGGGGGACTGGGTCGGGAGCCGTGTGAGGGGGGTTACTGCAAGCGGGGATCAGCCAAGCGCCAGATCTTGCAGGATCAGAGCCAGGGGTGCACTGGCTCGGGCTAGCGCGCGGGATCCTACAGGATCCTGCAAAGCCTGGCTGGCCCAGGTTTGCATTGGCCCAGGTCAGTGCGTTCCCGACCAGGGCGAGGGGGAGCAGGAGCGGTTAGATAGAGGCCGCTTCTCTTTTGACGTTGCACGGGGGGCTGCAGCCTCACTGCGGCAGGAGAGACTGCAAAAATATCTGGGCGATGTCTGGAGTCGTTTGGGGGGTTCAGGTGAATCAGCAGTGGTTCCAGCCAGCTTTGAGAGAATGCGAGGTTTTCAGTTCGAGACGGTGGCTTGCCTTTTTCGGTCTCTGGGGGCCGTTTTCGGGCCCCGGGTCTGTCCAACACCGATCCGTGGTTAATAATTGTACCAGATAGAACCCCGCAAGAGTCGGCGGACCGATTCTGAGCGGATTTGCCCTTGTCCCCCCTTCTTCACCGATTTTCTTGGGGCCCACCCAGTTCTGACCCACTGGCCGCCTCCAAGGCGATGTGGCCTTCGTACAGGCTGCAAGCAAGTGCGGATGCAAGACAGACCAAGGGACATCTAATGAGATGATCTGCCCGCAAGGGATAGAGCAAGTAAGCAGGCAGGTTTCGTTATGTCGCCTCCTCCTACCTCCTCTTCCATGTCTTCGCCGTCGTCGCTATTGCCATGATCATCATGGGTCGTCGTTGCTGTCGTGGCGATCTCGGTGGTCGTCGTGGTCGTCGTCCTCGTCCTCGTCGTTCTCCTGGTGTTTGCCTTCGTCGCGCACCATGGCCGCTCGACCGACCCGCGCGCACGCCAGGTCTGCGTCGTCGTCGTCGTCGTCGGCGTCGTCGGCCGTCGTCATCGTCGTCGTACTCGGCGTCGTCATCAGGTGGCCCGCCTCGTCGTCGAAGGTGGCCCTCCTCGTCGTCATCGGCGTCGGAGGTTGCCCTCGTCGTCATCGGCGTCGGCCGCCATCACCGTCGTCGACGGTTGCCTTGTCGTCGTTGTCGTCAGCATCGTCGGCCGTCCCTCGGGGCTCGATCGGGCCGCCAGCCCGTTGCGGGCCCGACCGAGAGGATGTCGGGGCGGCTGGTCGGACTCGGCGGGCGCGGCTGCAGCCGTGCTCTGGGGTCGGGGTCCAGGCGAGGGGCAGTGGGAGGTGGCTCCACCGCCTCGCGAGAGGGGGAAGGAGAGGTATGATGGAAAGGAGGACGAGGAGGAGGAAGAGGAGCAGGAGTAGAGTATGAGTCACGCTAGCCAGCTCGAGCGAGTCAAGCATGGCATGCCCATTCCCACCCGCCCTCCCACAACATAAGAAACAGTGCTGGCGCAGCTGGAGACCGAAATCATGTCGGCAAGGTGGTTTGCCACAGCTGATGCAGCTGCGATGGCGGTTACCGATCAG